AGACTTTGTCCAAACCTTTTAGTTGTGCCATTGGAGGTAAACCTTTCAAAAATTCGCTCCCGAAGTTCAAATGGATGGAAACCGTCTATTTGACTGATAGTTGACCAAGAAAAATAAATTTTGACCTATTTTGACCAAATTGAAATGGTAAAATGGTAACTTGATAATTATAATATTAAATAAATTGAACAAAAAAATCAAAAAAATCAAGAAAAAAATCAAAAAATTAAGAAAAGAAATTAAAAAAGGGTTATCTTCTTCAACCTCTCCACCCCACCCCCATTATGTTCAACGCAATGGGGTACATCAAGGAGCCATTATGCTCAATCCAAAGAATCAGCATTAGAAGCAATAAAATCAAGAAATTTACAACAATTTCTCTATCAAATACTCAGTTCTTTGTCCTCCAAATCAGTCCTTCAATCCCAATTTCTCTTCCTCGTATTTCAATCCCACCACCAGTCCACATTGTCGGTTAACCCCAATACTTCCATTTGTCATCCCATCTCCACCGTGCATGTGGCAGAGCTTGCCAAAACACCTCTCATCGCCACCAAGAAGCCAACCGTGTTACCGACTCACCACCATCTTCCGCCGTTAAGTGGGTTCCGGAGAGCTGGCATAAACATAGGAAAAGATCGATATCTCGAGACAAACCCAGAAATATTTGAGGATTGGATTGAGAATCCATTTTGGAGAAATGCAAATTTGTAAGAAGCTATCAGAAAAGCTTTAGAAGAAGAATAAACGAGAACCTTTTTTCTTTTCTTTTTCTTTTACTTCCCCCCCCCCCCAAATGTGGGGGTCTGACAAATCTTTAGGGGAGGTGGTGATGGGTTGAGCAATATTCTATTCTAATGGCATGTTGACTTTCCAAATCAGATCCACCTAAACTCACCACCGCGTCAACTCACACACAGAAACATACACATATGGAGAAATGGGGGTAGTGAACTTACAAAATAGTCATCATCAATGGTGTAGAAGTACTTCTTCTTGGAAATCATGAGTCCGAAGCATCGGCAAGCAGAATCCTTGAAGGAAATGCAGGAGGCCTTGGGTTGGGTTGGGGTGGGGTGGGGTGGGTGGAGAGGTTGAAGAAGACAACCCTTTTTTAATTTCTTTTCTTAATTTTTTTATTTTTTCTTGATTTTTTTGTTCAATTTATTTAATATTGTAATTATCAAGTTACCATTTTATCCATTCCAATTTGGTCAAAATAGGTCAAAATTTACTTTTCTTGGTCAACTAACGATCAAATGGACAGTTTCCATCCATTTAGACTTCGGGTGCGAATTTTTGAAATGTTTGGTACCTCCAGTGGCACAAATAAAATGTTTGGGCAAAGTCTGCTAATAAACAAAAGGTTTGGTACCTCGGCTGCGATTTTCCCTATTATTTTTTATCAACTTTTATCAAGAACTAAAAAAATAATTTTTAAGTAAATCGAAAATGCTTTAAAATCTTTTTTCTTTTTTTTTTCAACAATAACTAATTTAAGATAAATTTAAAAGTGTAAGATTGTAGCTTGGCGTGAATGGCATTTCTCGGCATGCTATGGCCGAGTTCAACATATCTAAAAAATACCATGTTTAACACAATCTAGTATGCCTTTTTATGCGATTCATTCGCTTACTTGTATCTCAAATAGACATTATGTCTAGCCAATTTTGAGATGGAACTAAAATTGCAATTTTAAAAATTTCAAGATTATGCCTCTCAAAAAATTGACCATGTTCGTTTCTCGTGACGCCAACATCAAGTTTGACCCAAAGAAAGGAAGGGGGGTTAAAAGGGCCAATTATACAACAATCAACGCTGAGAAACTGATACTGGGATTATAAAAGTTGAGAACTAAACGTGCAACTGGAATTCTTTAATATAAAAATTAATTGTTACAACCTACGTTGAAGAGCTTGTCATGAATCCCTAATTTGACAGGCTGCATTTTAACATGTTTCAAAAATTAATGTATATAAAATATTACATAAGAGTGTAATTTAAAAAATTTTAGATATGGAATACGTTTGGACCATGGGGCGTGCTACGAGAATGGAGGGTTGATCGCCCCTCGACCGAATCCCACAAATATGGGGGAGGGCATATGTATTTTTGCAGGCCCCACTCCCATTTGTAAGGTTCGGTCAGGGGGGCGGTTAGCCACCCTGTTACTGGAGCATTTTCCTTGGACCATTTATAATACAATCCCGCTATGGGTACATGACGCATTTGACAGAAAAATTACAAGAATTTAAAATGGTTGAGGTGGCACTAAAATAAAAGGAAAAGGAAAACAACACACGACTTCTTCCCGTATTTCCCCCAAATTGAACCATGAACCTTCTTCCTGATTTCCCCCAAATTACAGCGACACACACAACTCCTCGCAAAGCCAAGACGACTGTCGTACTTACTGTCACCACCAGCTGGCGTCGACGAAAGAACATCTCATCCGTCACATTTACACCCTTGGCAGCCACGATTCGCCAGCGGTAATGTAAATGTTTGTTAAATAGTTGTCTTCCATGGATTCTGAGATTGAAAAATGGGTTAGCAGGTTGGATAATGGTTTTTGACATAGATTATGATGTGGATTACGAGGTTTTCTTCGAATTCGTGCACTGTTGAAGGTTTATATTGTTTTTGAGTCCTTTGGACACGAATGAATTTCTCACTTTTTCTCTGTCTGGATCGAAGAATAGATACCATGCTTGACCATAAAGTGAACCCACGAAGGAAAACTATGTAGATTGGTCACTCGTTTTATAGATTGATTGGGTGAAAGATGAAGCTTTAGGCGGGGGATCGAGTTCCATTAACGATGTTGTCAATGAGGCACCCGACAAGAAAGACGAAGAGTTGCCAATATTATTTGATGGGCCAGCCAGAATTAGCGAGAAACGCAGCGCCGACATTTCATTACACATGACTTTTAACAAGGAAAAAGGAATTGAGAAATGTGATGGGAAAGGAAGAACTCGGTTTAAAGGGGTGATTTGAGTCATGTCTTCGGTTGAAGCAGTAGTATGATGCCTTAGTTTTATGTAAGTCTAATTTGCATTCCAATGTGGTTTGCAAGACAAAAATGGATGAGTAAGGATCATAGTTGGTGAACATGGTTGCAGTGTGTTCTCCCCCTCCCCCGCCTTTACATTTTGCTGTTGACTAACAAATTGTGCGCAAAATCCCCAGCAAAAGCAGCAGAAATTTCGTTCACATTATCCCAAGAAAAGGCAGCTATGGGGAGACTTCAAAGGAAAATCTGTTGCTTTTTATCATCTAAATTGACATAAAGTTATCATCTAAATTAACAATGACATAATTAACGCAGCGAAACGCAGCGAGAAAACAAATAACACAAACGAAAAGTACCAAAACCTATAGCCAAAATGAAGTCATTTTCTGTAGCAAAATACCAAGAATATTTTAAACCACATTGAATTGATGAGAATTCGGCCGCCTAAACTGGTGGGACTTTACAACACACTAGCAAATTACCAACTTCCTATTTGGTACACAATAGCAAATTACATATAGCTTGACATCTTGATAAAATAGCATTCAGTAGCAAGCTTCATTTTCTTTGAATTGGCATCTTCACTTCTTGTATAACTTACCAACTGCCTGCAAAATAATCAAGTCAAAGAAATGGTCCTCCTACGTTGATTATTTCTTGAAAACTAGAAAAGGGACATTGATTCACGTACAATACCAAAAGTTTAAATATTGGATACATAATTGAGAAACTATTGATAGTAGTATGGCATAACAAGAAAAATATTGTAATGGTGTCGGCATTTGCACACGTATCTTCCCTGGGAGAATCATAAGTTCGTCCATCTTGAGGGGGTAACTGTTGATAGAAGTATGGCATAACAAGACATACAATCACGTTGTTGTAGAGAATGAAATATAAAGAAAAATGCAATACCCGTGCATAAACACATAAAGAGCTCAATTTATCTCCCCCTTTTTCCCCTTAAATACATACAAATCTACACTTTTTCAATTTTTATGAAGACTAATGAAGCATGATAGAGAGCTAAATAAAGTCAATTTAGCAGAAAATCAGAGAGAGAAAGGTTTAGACAATAGATACGAATTTCCAATAAGTACAGTGATTGAAATAAAATCACAACAAAATGCATCATATTCGCACCAAGAGCCTTCTTAATCAAGATGCATCATACATTTCCCAACGCATTAGATGTTAATTTAATTCGTATTTTCTTTTACTGATAATGAGGTAGAATATATGAGTTCAAACAATAAGAAGTCAATACCCGCCGCCGGCTTGACGAGGGGAGGAAGCTGGAAATGACGAGCAAAGATTTGAAAGTGAATGTGTAAAGGTACAATCTTCATTTCCATAGCCAAGTCGACTCCATTTCTTCAAACCACCGAGAAAATCGAAATGGGTATCAATCCTCCAAACAACCTCTTGTACGGCGGCTTCTTCGCCGGAGACGGTGCAATGCGCCGGTGAATCGAGATGGGAATGAGTGGCGGCTGGATTCTGCTTTGGGGTGAAGGGGCAGCTGGTTTCTATTTTGGAAGGGAAATAAATGTATCTTCCCGGTTTTACACATGACCTCCAATGAATTTTGCGCCACACGTGTTTTTCTTTTTTTTTCTTTTTTTTTTT